TGGAGTTTTAACCATTTTGGTTCTACTGATAATTTTGCTGGACTATGACAACATAAATATGCTTAAATCTAATATCTAACTGAATGTATTTGTATATTATTTACAACAAATTTTAGAATATGCAAACATAAGGGCAGCAGATCCTTAAATAAATAAAAAAGTGGGTCTGACCTCTAACAAACCGACCGAACAATGGGTGAACCTGCTTATAGATGACACCATATTTTACAACACTGGCTAATGATATAAAAGAATAGGAAGCAACTATTCTAAAATGTATGGAAGGCAACTTCCTCAGACAAGAGGACACTGCCACGTCAAATTGAAAGATGTATAAAAGGAATAAAGCAGGTGAACTCAATCGTCAACATGGGCTTTGCAGTGCGGTCTAAAGGCTGTGTGTGCTGACTTGTAGACTGTGTATCCATCTAACAGCCTCCTAAAGGGTTCTGGTGCACGTTTGTAAGTGAGTGGATTGCTCTGCTTGTGCTTGTCTGGAGCTCTGACAGGAGAAGAGCTTTTGGCTCCAATTCAGACAGTTAAAACAGCTGAATTACAGAGGGCCAAAAACTATCAGGACTAATAAAATAGGTAATTATTTAGTCCTCATAGACTCTTATTCAAAGTACAAAGCATATCAATCAATATGATCAATCGCTTTGTAAACAGCCCAACAGGAAGGGGTAAGAATATCAAAATCATAGCGCAGGACACAACCAGCAAAATAAGAAAACAGGAGAGGAGAACGTAGAGTCAGAAAAGACGGAGGAGGGTGGGTGAAGGAGGAGACGGAGGAGTTATAAATGAAGTACAGAGAGGAGGAGGAGGAGTGCGGCTTTGCAGTCATTAATTAGCCCGTTAGCTAGGGCCCAGGCGGTGCGGTTAGGGCCTGCGTCTTTGTGGGCCTGAAGGAAATGGGCCCCATATGAGAGCCATTATAAGAACTGACTTAACAAAGACACATGCCTGTCAGCCACCAGGCTGGGCTGGGCCACTGCTTATATGGCACACAAAGGGCCCGCCACCGCCGCGAGCATGTGTGTATGTTGTTTGTGTCGGGGCAAGGCCCGAACTGTACATATGTGTCTGATTAGGCGTTAATAGCAACTGTCTCTTCTTGGTGTAGCACAAAAACAAATATCATTTTTTTCTGCTTTTGCTTTTTCTGGTCATATTTTAATAAAATATAAACATAACAAATAGTTAATAGAAAAATGTGCTTGATTTTAGAGTTAGAAACTGATGGCTGCGCTTCCTCCTTTAGGATTTTTGGTGACAGAGAGAAGACTTAGTGTTTCTATTTACAACTCTACGTGATCCTGGTGGAGAAGCAGCAAAGCAGCTTGAAGAAACACATTACAACCATAATGCCTGAATGCTTAGGATGGTTTTGTAAAAGGCTTTGTGCGCATCTTTAATCCAAAGAATATTTGTCAAAAGCCTTGAAGTCATCAAGACGTGTGCCTTTGTTGTATTCTTGGTCATCTTGGATCTCCTCAATGGATGCTACTCTGATTGTTGTTAAATCATGAACGGTATGTTGAATGAAACAACTTAGGGCTGCAGCTCTTTATGGTGCTTTCACATCGAACAAGTAAACTTAAAAAGAAAAAAAAATCACTAGTTTCATGTGCTTTTGGTCACCTGACATTTCGCCAGAAATTTGCCAGTTGAGCAACAGCAACTTGCAAGCAGGCCAAAGGCACCACTATATCATCCAATCTATATCATCTTCTCTATGGGTTGGGATGAAATGTAAATAATTCGCTCCAGGCCAGAGATGGATGGTGCGGCATTGGAGCCAAGATTAAGACTATTGTGCATCCAACAGTGCCTACCCCCTCGGATCAGGAGGCTATATCAGATGTGAGCCACTAACCTGATTAATGATAGGCTGGCTCCGGTATCTGATTGGCGGAGCTAGCAAATGAAATGCCGGGTATGGTAATTTAGAGGGTGAGTACTCACCTGCGTTAAATGCCCTGAAAGCTGGTGGCTAGCATGCCTAGACTAGGTGGTCTATCTTTCAAAGTTTCTCCAGTTTAGAAACATGGCTTTTACTTCGATTTGCTGAAGTCCCAAAGCCTAAAGGATGGCTTTTAAAGTATTTTTTATACCGATAGACCTGTTACTCTCTTTCAAATCTTTTCTTAAATTTATTTTGATGGGGCAAGATGTGTTTCTTCTTATAGGCTAAGTTGCAGAACTGGCATTGGGTTCCAGTATTAGAGTTCAGCAGGTCTGGTAGTAGACCAGCCTAGATGTGGCTAGCTAGACTAAACCAGAAAAATTAGGTCAATCAAAATGAATCAATGATTTATAAAAGGAGACAATTATTTCTCAACACTGTCATATTGGTTTTGTTTATTTGAAGGCTATGTTTAATATTAACAGATTTTATCCCATTTCATATCAAATACTATTTGATCATTTGGAACTCGCTATAACAAAGCACAACCAAAATAAATCAAATTATTTTTCAAACTACTAGATCTAACATGTTTGTAAATATATCTATCTGAACGACGCTTTCGGAAGCATTTCTTTAACCTCTGCAGATGTCCTGCTGTTTCTTCGACCCATTTAAAACCACATGACAGGAAGCCTGTGATGCTTTGATCTCAACTCCCCCTCCAAGATAGCTGAAAAACATTCACACCATCCAGGAATCGAAACAGGACAAGCGGGACACACTTAGAAAAATAAACACCCTTCAGTGGATTCTTAATACATTTTTTTATTTCCAGATATGTCAGTTCTGATCTATGAAATGTTAAAGTTTACAATAATAGGGGGAAAAAATCATGGTTAAAACTGCAGTCGGCTAAGTTTCATTATGCAGGGGAATTTTTCTGCAGAAAACTTTGTTTTGATTTGTTATTTGTACCATCTGGGCAAGATTGAGTTTTTTTCAAATTGAGATGTAAAGAACTGGCACACTGAGGCCTATTCTTTTCAACTGAAACAGTAGCATTCGGTCAGCTCCTCTGAGTATTGGCCTGAGTGAAGCTCAGGTCTGGAAATGATAAGTGGAAACAGACCGCCGCGGCGCTGCCTGTGTGTTTAAGGCCAATACACATCCGACACAGCGTAAACAGCCCGTACCCCAGTGACTAAACCCTGGAGCTTAGCCATAATAATCCTACACCTCCGTACAGTAGATCTTCCATATGCTTCTTGCTAAGTTGGGCTCTCTTGCCAAGATGTGCTATTGTTCTTGTAACAAACGACAAGAAGTTGCTGTAACCTTGCTTGGAGTAATTTATTCATTAGCTTTTAAAATGAAAACAAATGTTTCTTTTTTTATTGTTTAGCCTTTTATGCAGAGAGAATTGTGAGAGAAAAAAACATGTGAATCAAGAGGTCGGTTTTAACAGCTGATGCTCCTGAAGTTTTGTACGATAATAAGTTGCTCAGGAGAGCTATTTTTTGCACATCCCTTCATCCTCAAAACCAAACATGACACAGTATCCACTGCTTCCCAGCGTGCAGGAGGAGCCTGTTTTTATGGTCTTGCTCTCCCCTGGCGCTGAGAATCTTAATGAAGTCTGATCCAAGCTTTATTAAGATCTACAGTAAAGGTGAGGTTTCGCAATAAAAAAAAATAGAGTGTGGGGAAAACAACCCTTGATTAACCCCATCACACCTCCAGAGTACAGGAAAATTTAAACCTGGATACAAGGCAGAGCTAATCACAGCGCTAAGTGAATTCAGATTGGCGGATTTAATTTAGAAGTAGTCCAAGCACACGAGGAAAAGTAAATAAATAAAGTGATCAAATCTGGACCAAATTCCCACGTGGCTATTAGCCACAGTGTGCAAATTTGACAGCATTTGGTTCACAGCTGGCAGCAGTTTCTTGCCAAGTCGGGTTGCATACATGCAGCGGTTCTAAAAGGAGGTGTGTCAGGTGGCAAAAAAAAAACAAAAAACGCTTCTTTAAACGTGGAAGACAGTGGAAAAAAGGAAGGAAATGTAAGATAAATAACATTATTTTAAAAAGAAATAAATATCAAATAAATTAAATCAAAAGGATGGGACAGTTTTCTGCATGCTAAAATCAGTTACTAATGCTGATATATAGTCAAGTTAGAGGAGAAAAAAGAAGGCAGGAGCCTTTGTACTTCCTGGAACATCCATCTTGGAGCAATCAATGCCAAAGGTAATAATCCAATCTTGGCCAGAGCAATTAGTGGGTCACTATTGTGTTTTAGTGTGTGCATAACTGTAGATCCCCATGCTAGCAAGCTATCTAAAGCCAATGACCAGTTTTTGGTTACTTTTTTTGTTTTTTCTTTTCCAGCACACATAGCATACAGTGGGATCTAGCAGAGAGATGCTAGATTATTAAGCCAAGACCACCTGGGCAGGATTTGTTTCTTAATGGCTCTACAGACTCTTCAGAAGCAGAAAAATTATTTCTAAGCCATTTCAGACGCTCCTCATCCTTAACTCCTAGGATTCCCGTATACTGTATGCAGCGACCAAGCTCACTTTAAATTTCCAACTAATTTGATCTCAAATTCAGAAAAAAGGTTCTGCCAGTAATAAAAAAAAGGAACTCCTAAGCCACATTTGTTCTTTTTTTATCCCTAATAAGGAAACAAAAATACTTAATACTTCTATGGACAGTTTATTCCTCCTTGATTTTGAGAAAATATGCATCCGATTTGTAAGCTGCCAGAAGGTGGTAATAATATCAGCAATAAGAGCATTAAAATTAAGTCTTCAGTTCTTAGAGAAAATGCCACAACTGACATATGAGGAGTAACTGCAGTAATCTTTACACCAGACATCACCAGGGAGGTTCTAAGAAACTGTTTTTGGTAGAAAGTCCAGACCAACAAGTCTGCACAGGGTCTGCAACTACAAACTGATGATCAAAATAAAAAAAGAGCAAGAATTTGAGATTTCAGACATTTTTTCCCTTTGTTTCTTTATAACTGAACAGAGAGTTTGGTGCGTCGGTGCAGAGTCTAAAAATGTATCTGCGGACTAACCTGAATCTGTTGCTGGAGAATGTTGATCTTGTGCTGCTGCTGCAAAAGCTGCTGCTGCTGTCTGGCAATCTGCACAAATAAAATAAAATAACAGAAGGGTCAATATTTAACTTGCATAACAGCAATGCAGCTGTGAGGCACTTATCATTCAGAACTTAATTTAATCAGAAAAAATGAAAACTAAAATCTTACTTTGCCATTCACTATAGCCCACTGTATATCTGCTAAGCAAAAACTATCCGGCTGTTGTCAGCATGTAACATTGCCTGAACACTTTAGGCTGGAGGACCTGTTGTATCCGTGTATCTATTACTTAACCAGGCAAGTCAACAACACTCAGTTACAGTAACACTAAAAATAAATCCACATAACTGTTAAAGTTAAATATTTTTTAGCCCTTTGGGAAACTGGTGGACAGAAAAAGAGTGACAGCAATAGACAACATAGGAAAAAACAGTAATTTGCAAAGTTAGTACGTTGTGCTTCCATTATGTTCTAAACGGAAGAGCTTTCTGGTTCAAAGTTTTAAATACTTAAAATGATAAAAGTTTATTTATTTACACCACAGTGAACATTAAAAGCAAATTTATTAACCATCTTTAAATTGCTACAACTTACTATTGGGATCATTTTAAATGCTGCTTTGGAACTGGGACAATGTTCGCAAGAAAACAAATATGATATCTTAAATATTTTTGCAAAATTTGAATGGTCAAGGGAAATGGGTTAATGAAAATGATTTAAGCTGAAAAAAAAAAGGTTGTAAGCATCTATTTTTTAGCATAATGTACTATTGGCAATTACATTAGGGGGGTTTATCAATACATTTTCAATCTACTGTATATAATTTTTGTTAATTATTTGTACCTCAAAATCTCATTTTATAATGAATAAAACTTTATAATATTTAACGCTTATCAAAGATTCTTTGAAGTTTATGATCTGTTAAAACAAAATATCACACAAAATATCCCTAGTTTTCTCCAAAATGTGGCCCACATCTTATAAGCTGAATCTTATCTGTTGTAAAAGTTACAATAAGCAGAAACATAAAACATATAACATGCAAATTAAGGCTAAAAGAAGTGATTAAGCAAATGTGTTCATGATGATGATAAAAAATAATAAGAAAAATCTTTCCCTACTGAGTAGCTTCTATGAAAAAAAATATATATATATTTTGGTCTCGGCAGTCATATCTGCCTGAATTCAAAGCTTTATCTTTACGCTAACTGACCATGTCAAGCTGACAGTACTTGCAACATGTTGCCGTGGCATATAAACACATCTCATAGTTTACAATGACATGTTTACAACACCTTGAAACCATTTGGAACCTTCTTCTATGCACTTAAATACAAGCAGCCATCATCTTCACTAATTAGGGATTGTCTAATATCAAACATTTTTTGTCAGGTTAAAGGGTTGAGTCTTGTCTTGTGGTGGCTGGCAGGGACCTGCCAGTTGTAAAAGCTTAAGACTCCTTAAAGAAGGAAGTTTTTCTCCAACTACTTCCACCCATTCTGAGCAAAAAAAAAAAAAAAAACAGTAAAGCAGCTGCTTCTTGCCTTTTCTTCTTGAGGGATCGTTTAGTATATTTATTCCGAAACGTAATTGCAGGTTTCTGAATGGGAGGCGGCGCCCCATTTGCACACATGTCATATTTCATTAAAAGCAGATTTTTCTGGGTTTGTCTGTAGGGCATTATCCTATCAAGTCTCAACAGCCAAATGACTGGCTGATATTGGAATCTGTCTTTCTTTTCACTCCCCCCATTCTGCTTGCTCCTTTGTAAAGCTGTGAAAGGTGGTATGTGTTTTGATGGGAGGTGTGGACGTGTCCAAACAGAACCTGTCATATGCCAGCCCATGGTGACATGTCGACAAAGAGCAAAAACAAAGCAAAGCACACCTAAAACACCTATTTGCTTATTGTTGCTCTCTTCTCCTCTTTCAAAAATTATGCAATTTTAGTTATTCACCTAAAAAGTGCGTTAATAGACTATTAATCGATTTCTTAAAGTTCTTTAGTCCACAAAGGGGCGTCCGAAATATGCATACAGAAAACACAAGAACATTTATTTGGGGTTGTAGGTGAACACAAAAAGATACCAATAAGAAAATATTAGCAAGAAATTATTAGAAACATAAAATGCTATTTTATGTATTTTTTTAAATTATGTAAATAAACCAAGCTGACCATATAAAGAATGGTAAAGAGGAGAGAATCAGAATAAAAACATACTGTCCACCAGTTCCACACAGGATGGGCACAAATCAAATGTCCACTTGACCCAACTGCGCAAAGCTCAATTTTTACCACTTTGTGCTTATACATGGTGTCAAGCTATAAGGCGCTATAAGGTGGGAAAGAAGTCTTTACATTTGGGAATCTTTACCACTGCTAAATTCACTGTTTCACTAAAAGTTTTTGCATCCAATCCAAAACCACAACTAGTCTGACAGAAAGGGATTGCTATTTATCTAGGCTATTTAGAATATGTTTCTAGTTTGATAATATATTACTTTATTTATAAATACTACGTAGGGGTTTCATTTAACAGCTAATTTTGAAACAAATGCATTCCTTACTGTTTTAGATATGGATGAAGGTTTAGACTTGGGCCTGACTTGCAAAAACCAAAGATTTCAGAGCGATATTAGACTCATGCCCTAAAGCTCAGAGAGTTGACTTTAGACTGTGATCTGCGACTGAAGTCGTAAAGTCCTTTTTCATCTAATTTAATCAGAGTGAAAGCAAACCTGTCAGCAACCTGTGATAGTATGGCCTTAAACCTGTAACATATAACATTTGTGGACCATCCCAAATAATATTATCAGGTTTGCTTAGCTTCATAATAATCGACACAAATATGCCTATTTAACTAAAATCTGCACTGAACAACTCTAGGCCCGTTTCAAGAAAGAATAAAATGAACCTTCTACGTCTTATTCTCTCTTTTGTGTAAGTTTTTGTGTCTTTTGTCTTCTTTTTTTGCCACTTCCAAATTTCCCTGCATTGGGACAAAAAATAAACATTTCTTAGCATTTTTTATCCTTTGGTCTTATCCTAGACACTTGCAACCTACCCAAAATAAACTGATTTCTGCTCAGATTATAAAAAAAAAGGGACAGTAAGAACACTATCAAAGGTAGAAAAGCAGCTCCGAAGAATCTGTATGATGTACTGTATGTACTGTATGATGGACGTGATGGAGAGATGATACTGGTCAAATTGGGAATATAACCTTCAAGAAAAGAATCACACCAAAAAAGTCCTACAAATTAAGCAATTACTACAGTACAAAGTCAGAGTCTCCATCATAAACCCTAAAATATATGAAGATGAGGACATTAGGTTCGTCACAAAGGTAGGCTATTCTATCTAGCTCCTGGCCACAGGTGGGAATGTCAGGAGGTCCCTATGCTAACCGAACTAGCTAGAGGAAACATTCTGCTTCCTCTTCCTAGCTGCAGCCCACCATGACCTGTTCCCAGGTAAAGTGGAAGATGATGAATATGAGTATGAGTAGGGTCTACGATGTATTTAGAAAGTCAAAAAAAAGACTAAATACAAAGAATTGTTACATTGCTTTTTTAAATTAGAAAACAGCCCATAAGAATTCTTTACCTATTTAATAAAATATTAACAGAAATATATAAACTACTGATACATGTTTAAAAGTATAAATGTAAACAACTCTACAGTTTTTCTCCTTAAACTAGTGGTACACAAGAGAGGAAATGTTTGTTTCTATCGTTAGAGAAATTATCTATATTTGGTGAATAAAATGACTTGTGAACCGCTGCTCCTTTCGTCAGCATCCAGTCATTTATTTCTGCGGATCTACATAGCAACAATGCAGGTCACCCTGACCCTCTCTGTACTTCTCCCTTACCACCCTCAAGGTAAATACTGCAACTGTAACACTTTTGTTCAAAACTGCTACACACAGATGTTGACTTATCTCAGTGTAGCTTTAACTACTGTTTCATCATTTGACTCAACAATCTTTTTTCTGTTGTTTATTTTCAATTCAGTTTCATTTCACTGTATTTATATAGCGCCAATTCACAACACATGTCATCTCTTTCAGATGACTTTACAATTCACCAGATCATACAGTCAAATTGATTAAAAGTTTTCTATCTTAGGAAGACCAGTTGATTGCATCGACTTTCTGGGTTTATTTTGCATCACTTCATCTAATTCACATCAGAATTTCTCCCTGTTCTCTAACTCACAACTCACTTGTGGAGCCTAACCACTAACAAAACTAGACATCATATCTTCCTTTACTAGCTCCATCCTTTCAGACACTCTTTTTACCTTCAGATAATTCCTGATAATTTTCTCCTTGAGGTTAACTCCTTAACCAAATCTCCTCAAATACTAACCATGGCAGAACAGATCAAATCCTGCTTCTAAGGTTCAAGCCTTAATACCTTTCACTTGGTCACCTGAACACACATTCTTCATTTTGTTAGCCAATGTTTAAGCTTTTCCTGTCCTAGGCCAGACATTAGAAGCACCTACTTACGGTTCTAAATTCTTTACTTTCCACTTCTCTCTCTGCCTAAAAACATGCTGTCCTTCTCTTCTCTCGTTTCTCCATTGCTGACCAACAGTCACAATTTCCACCAGTTCTCAAATAATATAGGTGGTCACTCATCCAGGATCCCACCAATCTAATATGAATTCCTACCTGTTCCTGCTGCTGCCTTGCCAACTCCATCTGTTGTCTCTGCTTCTCCATTTGTGATGCCGCCATTTTTTTTTGCTCGTCGTGGGCAGCCAGAAGCTGCTCCCTCAGACTGATCAGCTGACCAATCATGGTTGAAAGTTGCCGCTCCTTTTCCTCAAGTGACTCCGGTGTACCTAAAGAAATTTTTAAATCATCAATACACTTTACTATTACACAATTAACTTAAATATAAGCTTGGAGTAAGACTGTTAAGAGCATATCAAAATCACCACAGTATCATGCTGACAACTTATTTCTACAGATAGAAAAATATACAAATTCCTAATCTCTCACAGCACTGGAAGCTGCATAGTTAGATGATGATGAAACTATTCCATTTCCAGAGGCACTTTAGGATGGTTGTTTTCCAACAAAATTTCACAATGGAAGCACACCTTTAAAAGATTAGGGCAAAAATTCAAAACAACTTGTTTAGTACCTTGAAAAGCTCTCATACCTAAATTCCCATAAATCTTCAAACTTGTTGTTACATCTCACTACTTATTATCTACCATCTTGTCTCTACATGTTACCTACCAGTGTCTGTTCTGGAGAACAATAAAAGAAGATTGCGTTAACCTCTTGAAAATAGGTAGAAGTTAAAAACCTTTGTCAGGTTTATGATTTAGGCATTTTTGAGAAGTTTATGGGCTGACAGCAGCAACATTCCAGTCTTATTCCATAGACATAACATTTCACACGGTAACACAGTAAGAGACAGACAGCACTGCTAACATTTGCCTTCTAATTAAAAAATAGAAGGTTTTAGTCGAGTGTGAAGAAAATGGTCCTGTTATGTCTTTTCATCTTCTGAAATACTTTAACCTGGCTTATTTAGTCCAGTTGTGGTCATAACAACGTATAAAGCCTGTGATTTTTCACAGTTTGTATACAGTGTTAGTCATTAAACTTATCATCTGAGGCTTCGATTAAAAGTTATTTTCATTCAACTTATGGTATCTGTTTTGCAAAACGTAAGAAAAGCAAATCAGAAAATAAAATACCTTACTTTATTTGTAAGATGAATTCACAAGCATTTTATTTGAGAAAATGCAATTGATAGTAGCCTCGCTACATAGGAGATGAAAAATTGGATAAATAAATATACATAACATTTCTAAACTCACTATCAAACCATTGTAGAAATGCTAACATCTCTATCCACCAAGAGTAGAAGACATGACAATATTTTAAAACTGTAAATTCAGATGTAACCGATGTACCGCATTCCTTCTCTGTTGTGATAATTCGGAAGGGTTTCAAAAGCAATGCTGAGACTTCTATAGTAACAAGTTACGTCTCTGAAAGAGTAACTGAATTAATATTTTAACTACTGCAAAATTTATGTCACTTACTGTAGTCGATAACTGCTGTAACTGCAGTAACGATGCATGTCTTTATATGATCTAAAATGCTGAAGAATTTGGATTATCGGATCTTAAAATAATGAAAGTTCAGTTATAGAGGTGATTGGGATTTTGTTAATATTAAAAGAAAATAAAGAACTATATATTTTTGCACATTGACAGCCTTCAACTCACTTTAACATAGAAAAATCATGCCTTTTTTTAGCAATTGAACAAAAATTAAATGCACTTCGCAATACAATTAAACAGGGGCTACACTATTCAAGAAAAAAAAAAGAAGGACTGTATAATCCCAGGATTTACATAGGAAACAGCAGAAACCAGGCGAAATCTGCCTGCTGCGCATAGCTTGCGTTTATGAAAAGTCGCTTTGATTGATTGAGTTGTAGTAACAGTGGCTCTAGATTGGAATTAACATAACAGCATTACCAATATGCAAAAAGTAAATAGATTAGTTTTTCAATGCAGTTTCTAATAATGTTATTATGTAACACTGTTACTGCAAACATTGTCAAGATTTTTGTGTCACTACCATGTTTACTGTTGACCTCTTCTACTGTTATAGCTAGAGATTGATAATACAGAAGCTACATAAATCTTTGGTTCTCTCCTGGTGTTGCATTAGTTTGTGTTTAGATGAATCCCCTCAGCACCATTAAAAAGAAAAACCACAACAGCATTCAGTAGCCAAAGATTTAGCTAATCTGTTTGTACAATTCAGTAAACAGAGGGAATGAATCTGAAATCCAGACAGAAAGATTTACTAAACTGAGGAAACAGAGTACAGGAGAATGAATTCAAACATTTTCTGGTTTTACCACCTGTACCTGATGGGCTGCACACTCACACGTGCGTGCAATTATTTCGTCACCATTAGTCCGTGATTCAACTTCTGGGCTTTAGATTGTGTTGACTTTACTTTGTTTTTTTTTTGTTTGTTTTTTTGATCCATTAAAAATAAAAGACAGTTTATAGCTTAAAAGACCAGCATATAACTGCAAATAAACGAACTGCAGTACCTTTTATATATCTTTTTCCAACTAATCTGACTACATCCTGTTGGCTTTTAGGAGATGGTACATCATGTCGACCCATGAAGCAGAATGGACTTCATTTATTTATAGTTTATATATATGATTCTGAAAATTTATAAAGAGCAAAACTTTCATTTTTGCAACCCTTTTATGCAAAAAAAGCCTTTGTTTACTATTGTTTTGCAATAAAAACGCAAATTTTTCTAATTCTGTATGTAATAATAAGTTTCATGTTGCTCATTTAAATTGGTTTTTCATTGGTTTAATGTGTTTAGATATTTGTCCTGTTTGATGTGTAAATGTCACACATGGACTGAAGTTCATCATGTTCAGAAGTTCATGTCCAGTGTACGTGTGTGCATGTGCGTGTGAGAGGTACATTTTTACAATTTCACCATCAAACGAGGGCCGTTTGTACTAAATTGACCACATTTAACTGGTCCTCGCTTCCTTTTTTCTTACCGGTCAGGTTTAGAGCTAAGGTGTGAATTGGGTTTAGGTTAGGTTTAGGGTGAGGTATGCCCTGGTGATGGTTGGGTTTAGGGTGATTTTCTAGGTTAGGGCATAGAAAGGGTTGAAAATGACTGAAAATCAACGGAGGTCAACCCATGGTCCTCACTACATATAGCAAGACAAAAACATGGAATGTGTGTGTGTTTGGGGGGTAAAGTTTTGCCTTGGGGCCATGTAGAGAGACTGCAGGGTGGCCCCAACACTACCTGCATACTAACAAAGTCTCCATTGTGGTCTTGTCAGACCACTATTGTAGCTACCAGAGACTGTCCCTCCCCACACATGGAAGTGACCCCTCAGCACCCGCATACTAAAGACAACATTCTTCATTCTGTGTTTTTTTTAAATGCTAAATTACTCTTTCATTTTTAACCCAGTAATTCTTGTATATTGCATTCCCTTTGTGCCCCAGCTCTCTTATTTACACTTTTCCAGATTTGAACCTTATTCTCTTTTAGGAATGTCTTGCTCCTTCCTTTTTATCTTATTTACAGCTTTAGGACCTTCTGCTTTTTCTCTTACTCCCTTCTTGCATCTCTTTCCTCTTCCATCAACGCCTTCCAATCTCCTCCCCTCCTTTCTCAGTGCTTAAAATCTTTTTCTCCAGCTCCTCCCTTTCTCCTTGTCATCCCCATCTATATCCTCTGCTACTATCAGTACTCTTCTCTGGCCTTATTTTCACTGTTTGGCTAACTGGTGGCTGCTTTATAACCCCGACAAATCTCAAACGCACAAGAACAGACTTCCTCTATATTCCTCTCCCCACATTCTTTAACAAAAAAAAAAAAAAGTGAGACCCATTGTATAATCCCAGCAACTGCGATTACAGTTCAATGATTCATCTTTGTGGATTACGGGGGGAGCATTCCAAACGTGCTGCTTTGCGTTCTTTCAGCGCTTTCTGGCACCAATAACCTTAAGAGATATTTCCGTTTTTTATCCATCAGGATTATTGCTGACACCTGCTGAGGTCACCAGCCAAAACAGAAAGCCATTAGCTGTTTTCTCTCTCTGTTTGTGGATGCTCTGCATTTAAACCAAAACACCCCAACGTCTTCATCAGTTTAAGTTCAGGTTTCAATTCAAATGTCCTGTTAGCGTCCATCATAAGAGCATTAACTGTTCAAAATCCTGTCCAAAAACATATTATATTTTTGATAATATTCATACAACTGCTATACATTATATATGATAAAAAGCTAATCACTAGGCCTAAATATTAGTATTATCCTTAACATTATATTATAACATTTTGTTGTCTTGCTTCTTATGGAAGCAAAATTTCTTCCTTATGTGCACAAACTTGATGAATAAAGACGAGTGATTTTGAAATCTCTCTGTTTTTGTCCTTGACGCCCTTCTGCAGACAGACAGTAACATATGTTTTCATGGGAAGACTTATGTTGAAAAAAGGAAGATAGTGGATTTGGTACTTGAATGTGAATATGATTATTGCAGCCAGATGTGCCAGCTCATGCATCTAACATTATAATGAGACGCTTTCCATCCATCTGTTCTTTGGCTTTACTAACTGTGTTTAAGAGAAGATCTTAATGTAAAGGCTTGAAAAAATTGCAATGCAAGTAAAATCACCAAGAGGCTCAAGCACAGAAAGAAATCTCAGCCTATAGCTTTTCTCACTTATTCCCTTTCTTACATGTTAATGATAATCACATACAAATTACATTTATTTTCTGACAAATATCATCCCTTTAGACATCATAACAGAAAGTAGAGATGCCTTAGATTTCTGCCAAAAGTGTACTTGATTAATACTCAAAAGGAGAATTTTTTTTTTTTATCAAATGCACTCCTTCCACATGCATTTTAAAGGTTTTCACAACCATGACTCATTCTCTGCTGTCTTGCATCTTATGCTCCAGTGTTGACCTGTTTCTTTTTATGTTAATGTAAACTTTTGAGGGTGGAGCCAACCTGAGAAAGTACGTTTTTTTTAGTTAAGCTTGATGTATCATGAAAATGTTGACCTGTCGGGTTTTTTTGTGACTTTTACTTAATTATGGCAATGGAAAGATGGATCAATGGAACACTAACAAAACTAATTTTTAAAGCAATATAAAACAAAATCTTAAGACAATATAACAAAATTACCACACCATGCAAATTGCTGTGATACAGACAGAGAGACTTAGGTGTATCTGCTGCTGTCAGTGCATATCGGAGGGGAAAGTATTGATATTTTACCCGAATAATGTTCGA